AATTCCTCAGACATGTCTCGCATTATCTAGACTTTTTATTGTTTTTCTAAAAATTAAACAGTACCAGCCTTCCTCTCCCAATCTCCTATGTGCTGTAGATTTCTACCGAGGCAGAAGGTCGTCCGTGGGACGAAAGCACCTCCCCGGCCAGAAACTACCAACCACAGGTACCGCGCTCCGCCACCACTGGTAACCTACAAACCATGGAAAAGCCCATCTCAAACCAATCCTACGGCCCAAAGGGTATGCCGAACTGTCAGTCCGATCTGGAGGCCTGGCTCAATGAGCCAACTCAGAAGGCTGCCACAGAGCAGTTCTTTGTTCAAAAAATGAATGAAAATCTCTCCAGACCTGTGTAAGTTAGTGTCTTCGGGTATATGCATTGCACCAGAACTCCAGAAAATCGGGAGGTACTGGCACCTATAATTTATCGAAATACTCTGTCCCGGGTGGCGATAGTGTGCGTACACGCTGGTTCGACGATATTCTTTCATTTTAAAAAATTGGTAGGACTGTCTTTAGACGTCCTATTTGCCTTTGGCTTATAATAATCAACTACTTTTACATTTTAGTAGTCCGACTTTCCAATGTTTTCGTTAAATTCCCCCAAATATAAGGTCGAATTTCCATCAATAGACATCACTTGCCTGAACAGCAGGAATTTTTGTTGATGAAGTTGATTATATTCAACCCCTTAAATGAATTATAAGTTACTTTAATATTCTTTCAAACACGATTAAATGTTCATTTACACTCTTTAATAAAGAATTAAACGTTTAACCACCAATTCCATAAGACAGTTGGACAGGGAAATATATACATATATATTTGGGCGGCACTTTCTGGACAGTTATGCCAAAAATATTATGCCGAAAGATGGGATTTTATTTGAATCCACTAGTGCGTCTGAATTGTTTACGTAGACCTATTCCGAATTAATAGCTTTAGGTATGTACTTGAGCAATCCTTAGAAATATACGTTTGTAAGGAAGGATATTTATTGGTCCTAACTTTGATTTCGCCTAGGAGATTAGTTTTCAAGGGGACTAATTCGCAGGTCGTTCTAAATCCCCACCTAACGGACGGAAGAAAAGTTAAGTTTTTTTTAAATTTCTGGATTTTTGTACGTTCTTTGCTATTTTTTGTGCTACAGATGTATCACCCTTTCACTTTTTACCATACCGTTTGGCGCTAATACGAATCGGGGAACATATCGGTAATGCCATGTGTTTGACATAGACAAATCCAAACTGTCTCCTGCATGTGGTGGCACACCCTTCCCAATTCCAAATGTCGTCACTGCCAGCAGCCATTTAGGACTCCACTTTTTGCTGCATTAACAAAAGATTGTTTAAAAAATTTCTGGGAGGCAAACTAAATATATACCCTGCAATCGATCTTTGTACTCATAAAATCAGCAGAGGGAAAACACGATAACGAAACACGGGAGAACTGAGACATCTGCCTGCGATGTTAACACTCGTTAGGGGCCCTAATCTACCCTAGGCAATTCGCCCAACC